CTACTCACTATAATATCATAGCTTTACAGGTCAACAACAATTTAGTAGTCAGACAAGTAATCATACCTTCATATCATACAGACAATAACATTCTTTACTAGTATTTATTTAGCACAATCAGATTTCAAATACGACACTCGTCCCTAATCACACCCTTGCACTTAACCTCACGTGTGGCACTACTCTGCTCAGTACCATAGAGCCGATCAAGAATTTCAATTCCAGCCGCCTCTAATCTTAAAGTCTCTGGACATTCGGAAATTAAAACATCAGATAAAGCATCGACTTCCTCAGCTGAGGGAAGGTCCATGGTCTCTTCCAAAGTAATAAAGGAGTGTAAATCGGCCTTTTTAGCCGGAATAGACTCACAAAAGTGGAAGTGGGCAATCATAAATAGACAAAATTTGCGGTACATATGTTCGATGCCTTTAACAAGGAGTTATATAAAGAGTATGTTGACATCGTATCTCGTTTAGGAGTCGCAATTCCACCCGCCCTTGAAAGTGCTTATAAGACTTATATTAATAAGCAAATGAAAGATTTGCCCTATGTAGATAAGGCCGTACAAAAGATGTACACTCTAGTCTTCTTTCTAAAGTACGTTAAACAGATGGAAGGAACCGTTAAGTTCAAAGATGTCTACTCAAAACTTGAAGTACAAAAGAAACTTATCAGTCGAGCCATGGATAATGTCGATGTATCTTTTAAAGTTGAAGGTGAACATCCAATTGCTCTAGAAGATTGGAGTTCACTCTACAGTATAACCATGGGAATTGGTGCTGGAATCAAAGATATTGATTTCAGTCAAGTCCCAAAAATATCAAAACAAAAGAATCTTAAAGGTTAGTTGAGTAGAGAACTAAGGCAGCACCATTAAGGTACTTAAGCCGACACTCGTGTTTAGCTCTATTCAGTACCCAAGGCAAGGAGTTTGGGTTTGTTTTGATTTCAGCGATAAGTTTTAAACTAACTAAATCAAGATCCTTATCAGTAATGTCCCAAAGCGACCCAACGACCGCTTCAATAGCCGGGTTGTGCAGATAGGAAATACAGGTACTATGTGTGTTGTACTTAGGGAAGGCAAAGACCCGTGCACTCGAACATCCAAATAAAAAGAGAGTAGTCCTTTTATCTCGAATATCTTTAGTAAGTTGACCCAATGACTTAGGCGAGAAGAACTTCTCTCCACCTCCATGTCCAAAGTACATAAAAACCCGATGCTTAACCATGGCCTTCTCCGCTTCCATTGGTTCAGGGATACGGTTCTTAATACCTGTGGCTTGTGGTAAATGTGATGCTAGAAAGGAAAGTACTCTTTCTTCAGTCTGTGGTAAGTTCTGTTCAGGATTCAGAACGTAGAAGAAGTCCGTCTCAGCTAATACTTCATGAGGTTTCTTCCTTGCTTTCATAATGTGTCCTAAAGATGAAGCCCGGGTAATACCACAGTTCATTAAGACCGAGCACATTTCAAAAGGGAAGATACCTAAAACATCTTCAATTACTAGAATCACACGATTAGCAAATGCATGTCCTTTTTGTTGAAACCTTCTTAAGTACGTATCTAGTTGGACTACTTCACGTTCAATGGCCTTATCAAGACTTTCACGATCTTCCCACCACTTTTTCTTATCAGTAGTCTCTAGACAGGCACGTTTCAGGACTTCTCGATTCTTCCTTCCAATTTCTTTCATCCTGGCCAGTAGTCCTGCCGTCATTATCTTTGTTTTGATCACTGACATCTTAGTCTTACTATTCTGGGTAAAAATCAGGCCAAAAGCAACGGCCCCGTCTATTGTATAAACTAATAAGGGTGAAACATCAGTACAGACATCACCAATATGTCTAATTTCGTTTACATAAGCCGAGACTTCTCGAGGCTCATTCACAAACATTCTTTCACGCGGATCGTATATCTTAACATCTCGCAATAAAGATAGTTCATTGCCATACTTCAAGGCCCGCCCGATCTTATCTTCAATACTTAACTTTCTTTCTACCGGTTCTTCTATCGTTTCAGCCAGTAATGTCCATTTACCCTCTACTTTTTCCAGTTGTACGCCCGCGGCATACTCTATAATCCCTACCATTTCATCAAAGTACTTGACTCCACCAGGAAAGCCCACTAGACTAGCTAGCTTTATACCGGCACGACTTAACCACAGGGCGTCATAGTACTGTCCCGCCCGATAAGCAGCAGCACCACCCAGAGACAATAGGTGCAGTCGGCATCCAAAATAAATCGAAGACTTACGCACTCCCCATCGCAACAACTCCTCCACCACTTCTCGACATCCTAAATACTGGCCATTCACGTACAGACCGTACGCCCGCACAAACTGACGATCAAACCGGGCATCCGTTATTTTACTGCGCATGCGCTGACTAGCACTTTCTACTCCCCCATCCATTCTAACTTCTTCTTTCACTTCAACTCCATCTTGACCATTCTTCTGTTCAGTCGCTGCCAAGTTATCAACTTGATCTTCTTCCTCGGTCTTAAACCCGGACAAGTACGTTCTAGTATGGTAAGCTCTAAACCCGGCAGCTAACTCACCACTAACTAGCACGGTCTCTTTCATACCCAAAAAGTATCCTAAATGATACCGTTCCATAAACTCAACTACTCGTTGTATCCAATCACTCGATACGCCCAAGTTTGCCAACTTTACCAAATACTCCTGCCGGCCAAGATAGTACCCAAAACTTACTCCTTCACCCCAGCCTTCCCTCCTAGGACCCCCGCAACTAACTCCCACCGCCTCTTTTACCATTAGTCGAAAATATTTGTAGTCTTTATTAGTATCTCTGCTTGTTTCTCTACCTTTCTTTCATTCTAATCCTCCCATTCCAACCGGTCGTACTACTGTCGACGACCTCTAAAGCAAATCTGATTAAATCACATCAAATCAGCTTCATTACGCAAGTACTCTCCAGCATCTCCATGTCGAACTACTACTACAGCCGTCCGATCTCCCGAAACAATTTCCGTACCCGATTTCGTCATAATTCCAAAACCCAAGGGAATATCATGAACTGTGCACAAAACCACGCCAGCATTCTTCTTCACCTCCGTAGGAATGCCTACTAAGTGCGCCCGTTGTACATGGTTACCATAAAGCACACTCATCTCAGCCGTCGGTTTCACTCGCACCCGGTTCAAGCAATAGTTCCATAAAATACTCAAAGCCGTTATCTTAATCCTAAAATGTCCTGATTTAGTAAAACGGCCCAAACAAGTCCCCAAACAAACTAAATTATCACGAGCCACTAATTGGGCCCGTTTAAGTAAATCGGTTGATACATAATAAACTTTCTGATTATTCAAAACCAAACGAAACATCGGATTTAAGAACGAACCAAAGTTACTCCCAATATACTGCTTTACCTTCTTTTCTACTTTTTCAAGTTCTAAACTAGTTAGTTCACGCATCGCAAAAATTTGGAAACTAAACCCAATATTTATTACTATATTTGGAAATTTTTGAGCTTAGATTTACACTCTTTATTTCAATTTTTTGTTACCCCCGTAATGTTAAATCGAGTTAAAAAGTGTCGTAAGTTGAGAGGACACGTATCCCATGGGCATGGTCGAGTTGGAAAGCATCGTAAGCATCCTGGAGGTCGTGGAAAGGCCGGAGGTCTGACTCATCACCGAACACTCTTTGAAAGATACCATCCAGATTACTTTGGTAAACGTGGAATGTGTGTTTTCTTTGAAAGGAAGAACAAGCAGTATATGCCGATAATTTCAGTTGATAAGTTATGGAGTTTAGTTGATAAGGCTGGAGCTTTTGATGAAGCCGTTGCCGATCAAACTAAGGTACCCGTTTTAAACCTACCAGACTTTGGATACTTCAAGGTTGTTGGTAGTGGCAACAAGCCAATTATGCCAATTGTCGTCAAGGCTCGCCAATTTACTCCTGAAGCTGAAAGGAAGATTGTTGAAGCTGGAGGCCAATGTGTCCTCACAGTTTAGATAAATAAAGAATCTGTGGCAGGTGCCTATGATGTTAGTTATTAATGAGCGCTCGGGTGAAGGAGATTCAAACCCACTGGATCCCGGGCAGGCGGTGAGATAAAGAAACTATCTGAGGCACTTCTTAAATTTGAAGATCTTCATAAAACTCCTATGAGTTGAGTTAAGTTGAGTTTGGGTTACTAAGCGATTACTACTCTTTCTTTCATACTAAACCCTTTATTCCTTGTTTGGTCTAGTTTACTTTTAGATACCAACTCGTAATTCTAGGGGACTAATTGGGTTAGTAGAGAATTTAAAGGAGCTCAGAATTTAGTGAATATATTGAGAATTACTAAAATTTAAGTATGACGTCATGTAAGAAGATGACGTCATCTTTTTACTTATTGGCATCTTTTTACTTATGGTCGTGTACAACCAATAAATATCTAGCCAGGTCGTATTAGGTATATCACCGATAGAACTTGTATTAACTGTGACACGCCGAGTATGAAGCTCGCCCAGTTTGAAATACAAAAGCCCTCAGCAGGTGAGACTTGGAAATTATCTTTATTGAGCCAAAGTACCAAGTGAGCCTCCTTTCTGTCTCTAGGACCAGGAATACAACCTTTCATCCCTAAGGGTAGATTTAGAAGTGGATGGTGTTAGATTTTATTCGACTATATTCTCTCGAGAGTTTTAGATAAGCTTTTATAGATTAGATGGTGTTAGTGTTGGGTTGGGTTGGATAGGGTTCATTGGCCAATGCCTACTCTATTAAAGACCTTCCTTGAGACGAGTATCGATGTGATTTGTTAAATAAATATGGTTGTGTGTGAGGATGACGTCATATTGAATTGTAGGGTAGAT